AAAAAAAGATTTAAATCTTGATTTATTTGTGTAGTTCCGATGCTTAAATTCGACACTTTACGCCCCGGTCTAAACAAAGACATTAATTATCTTACCCATTACAAAGATACTCTCCCCAATTACCACCTCTAATATCATTAGCTCAAAGACATTTACCTCCTCCCCTCATCCCCCTTCTGTTCTGAAATTTTATTTGTCCTTTTCACATGTGTTCATTTTTTTGATTGTATCCTTTGGTATATATGGTTGTGCCAATTTTCTTCCACTATTTGATCTGAGGAAGTGGGTCTGACCCACGAAAGCTCATCACCTAATACACCATCTTGTTAGTCTTTAAAGTGCTACATAATCCTGTTTTCTGTTTAAGTAAAATAAATGTGACGAAGGTCTTGTAAAAAAGAATTCCATGCTTCCAAATAACAAATAAAATAATCTACCCAGTGAATTAAAGCTACATACAATTTTACTATGTTTACTATTTTACTGTTCATTTTCGTTATGAATGGGATGAAAAAGTTTACCACAAATTTATAAAGAAGCAGCTTCTGTATTTTTAAATAACTAATGTATTAAAAACCCTCCTGATATTTTAGTTTGAGAACAATATGTTTTCACCTAAGAGAGTACATTAAAGCAAATAGATGGAAACCACACTTTGAAAAGCACCTCTCTATATGCTGAGTTCCAAGTCTTGAATACAAATTTCTTGTTTAAGCCAAACTCTGCTTTAGAATTACTGGGGATACCCATGAGAGGGTTTTTTCCAAACATTTCAAGAGGCCCAGCTGCCTCTGCCATATTGCAAGCTATATTTGTATAGATCAATTGCACTTATACATTGTCATTTGGTCAGAAGCCGGTCGTGGAGACATTTTTTGGCTATGATGAAGAAGCTTCTCTGGAGTCTGATGGTTCTTCTATCTCGTATCAAACTGACAGAACAGATCAGACGCCTTGCACTCCAGATGATGATTTGGAAGAGGTATTTTTCCATGAATCTAGACTATTTGATGACACTTAAATTTATGCTGCGTGTTCTTATTCTTGTTGATCATAGTATAAAACCAATTATCCTGCTCTTGTTTTTGGAAAATTCCACATTGATATGGCCTTTAGTGAGAAAACTAAACTATGGTATAGTCAAATAACCATGAGCTTAATCATATGCATGGAGGCTGATATTTTTTGAGGCAAGTCCTTAATCACCCCCACAGTTGGCAAAACCTAAAACTTTATATAATTTCCAACCCTAGGAGTGTGGGATTTAGCAGATTTGTTTGAGGTCAGAATACTGAAAAGGCTGTAAGGACTTTATTGAAGTGTTTTGGCTGGGAAGATTCATATTGGGATTGAATGCATATTTAGCTTCACGTATAAATTGGGCTCCACAAAAGGGTATGTCTACATTACAAGTACAACAGTGGAACAGCTGCAACTTTGCAGCTACACTGCAACTGTAATGTGCACAGCAATGACAAAAGGGTTTTTTTTCTGTCATTGTAGTAAATTCAACCCCTAAGAGGCAGTAGTTAGGCTGACTAAAGAATTTTTCATCCACTTAGCTGTAAATACCAGCACAGGTTAGGTCATCCTAATTGTGTTGGCATAGGGTATCAAATGTTTCAGAGGCTTGAGAAATATAATTAGGTCAACCATTGTGTTGCTTTGATGTCAGAATAAGAAGAGGTAGCTGTTAAGAAATATTGCAGGCAGGCACCGATGGCCAAATAACACTTGTATTTTGAAGATGATTCCCAGAAGTCAGTGCATGTTTCAAAATCTCATGTCAGTTCTGTTTATCACAGGCCTGCTGACTGGCGAGGGGGAGGGGGAAAGAGGCGCGGGAGTGACAGTTGCCCTGGAGTCTGGTGATTTAAAAGGAGAGGGAAGAAGCGGCAGCGGCCGGAGCTCCAGGCCCTTTAAATCACCACCAGAACACTGTGCAGCGCAATCTGGGCAGCTTTCAATTCTGGTTAGGTGAGGTTGTCAGCATGGCATGCTCCAGGTGATGCTGAGGGGTGGCTGCCCTAGCCCCACCCTTTCTATCCAATGCCTCACCCATTCCAGTGTGTGGAGCCATCCCCCGACCTTGCTTAGGCCCCACAAGTCTGTCAGCCCCACTCATGTGCTATTACCTGTCTCTAGGCTCCAGCAAAAGCCTTCCCATACAAAACAAAAGCCCCATGATAGTGATCTACATTTTTACAACATCTGATTCTCTAATGCCTGCATCATTTAAACAAGCCCTTCACCATCTGTTTACAGATCAGTTACGGATTTTTAAAGAAGGGAGTGTAATGATTCATATCTATTAGCGGGCTACATGATTAAAAAGGGGGTGAGTGTGTGTGAGAGAGAAACATGAATCTGTTGATTCATTTTTAATACAGACATTGAACAGATTCTCTTCTTCCTATAGCATAAAATTCATTCATGTGCAGACAGTTGGCCTAAGTTCTATATACTACTGGGCTACGTCTAGACTGGCCCCTTCTCCGGAAGAGGCATGCAAAGCAGGCAAGTCAGAATAGGGAAATCCGCGGGGGATTTAAATATCCCCCGCAGGATTTAAATAAACATGGCCGCCGCTTTTTTTCCGGCTTGGGGAAAAGATGGAAAAGAGCGTCTAGACTGGCGCGATCCTCCGGAATAAAGCCCTTTTCCGGAGGATCTCTTATTCCTACACTGAAATAAAAGACGAGCAGCACAGCCACATTTGCACTGGATCAGCTGACTTGGACTTGCAGGGCTCAGACTGCACGGCTAATAACTTCAGTGCAGTGTTTGGACTCAGGCTGGAACCTGGGCTCTATAACTCAAAGGGGATAGGACCCAGTTTCTGGGCTCCAACCCAAGTCCAAACATCTGTACTGCACTTTTTTAGGCTGGACCCCCATGAGCAAAAAGTCAGTTGATCCAGGCTCTGAGTCATAGTGCCCTGGGGGATTTTATTGCAATGTAGACATATCCACTGACTTCAGGGGGAGTCTCTGAAAATTGGGTCATCCATTCACGCTGTGGTTTTTGTCTCATTTTAAGAACTTAGCCCCCAATGCAAATGTCTTATGTACAGAAATGCCACTAACGCATCACTAGTGGTGACTGTGTGTGGTGCCATGATTGAGGTTTGGTTCACAGTGCCTCGTGGATTATATACTCTGCCTCTTTCCACAAAAAGGAGGAACTTTTCTTCTTAGTGGTTTTGATCAACAGCGCTGACAAGTAGTGTCGAAAGAAAGAAAGAAAGAAAGAAAGAAAGAAAGAAAGAAAGAAAGAAAGAAAGAAAGAAAGAAAGAAAGAAAGAAAGAAAGAAAGATGTTGCATTTCAGCGCAGTGTGTTTAAGTGATATTTTACTGGGAAGACTAAAGTAACTAAAGAGCACATAAACAAGACCTTATGAACAACACTTGAAGACTTGTTTATTAAAAGTATTAATAGTTGGTTCTAATGCCATCAGCTTCCTTCTTCAGAGAAAACATATAAGTTGCTGCTAGTCTTTCTTTTCTTTCAGTTTTGGAAGAATCAAATGATATATATATATATATATTTCTTTTTCATTTCAGGGCATGGCCAAAGAAGAAACGGAACTGAGATTTCGGCAGTTGACAATGGAATATCAGGCTTTGCAACGAGCATATGCTCTGTTGCAAGAACAGGTCGGAGGAACATTGGATGCAGAACGAGAAGTTAAGGTCTAAATGGCTTATATTACATGAAAATAAAGGATTGCAATTATATACATTGTTTCTAATTTTGCTTATTTGGCTTGCTGTCATAACTAATAGGCCAAATCTTTAGCTGGTGTAAATTGGAATAGCTCCATCAAAAGTCAAGAATCTATGTCAGTTTACACTAGCTGAGGATCTGTTTCTGTAGTAGTTTAATATGCATGTATCATAGGTTTATAAAGCACCTTTCATGATTATAGGTTCTAGAGTGATACACAGAGTAAGACCACAGTTTAGCCACGAACCATTTAAATGCAACTATTTCTGGTCCAAAACACTGCAACAGCATGCAGAAATCTGGGACAGTAAGTGAAGATTAAAATTGCAGATGGACTGTGGATTGATTGAAAGTAATTACTCAGATTGGAAGTTGACCAGAGTGTACTGTGCACCCAACTGTATGTCAGCAGTAAATTTAAAAGAGTTAAGCTTGGTTTCAACATTTTTTAGGATGTTTCTCTCTTTTTTCCTTCTGATTTTCCTTTAATCCTCCATACCACTTCTTAATGTGGTCAGAAAAAAAATCTGTTTGATATTCCTCCAGTGAATATCTAATGCATCTATACTGCTGTCTCAATGCAGTGTCGTAATTTATGGTATCTAAAAGCAGTTAGATTTCCACTCTCTTATATACTGAAGTGCTGGTTGCTGGAGAAACCATGGCTAATGCAATTATATTTCATAACACTGATCAGCTTAAGAGTCTGTCAAGCAGAATATTTTATGGAAAATTAAGCTCCCTGACGGTAAAAATCTATTACCAGTATTCTTAAATAGTTAATGTCTAAAATTCAAACCTGGATTTACTGAGATTACATGATTCTGCATAACATTTTAAAGAGGCTTATAGTTCAATATGAGATTCATTTTCCTAATTAAATTGCAAAATTTATTATTCCATTGTGCCTTCCTATCTTACTCAGTTGTCCCCTCAGAAAGGCAATTGCAGCTATGTAATTATCTTGCATTAATTTACATTATAAATAAATATATGTATTGCAATATGGATAAATAATACATTATAAAGTGCTGGAAGCACAGTCAAATGAAATTCTACTTTTTGAAAATGGAGTGAAAAGTTTAGAATGTATCTCCTTTGGAAAAAGAACCAAATATGTACATATTAATTCTGCCGGGACCTCCATTCTATGCAATTCCATTGATAGAAGTGTGCCTACAAGCTCTTAAATTGATCCTAAATCTGTTTATGTAAGTGATGGATTGGTCATTTTCACTTTTCATAAGCACATTGTTCCAGGAGAAACCAACACAGTGCTAGGGTAAAATGGCCAAATTAGCAAGAACTCTATTAAAATTATTAAAAGTTTCAAATACTGGTAAAACCATATTTCCTACATCATTAGGGTATTATGATGCTTTTCCAATCCATCGGCAATCCCTTGAGCCAAATTAAACATGAAATGGATAACCCCAAGTTCCTCTGCTCGAGTTCTAAGATCGAATCAATCCTTGGCTTTCCTAACCTGGACATTTAGCTAATGCTTCATTTTCACTAAGTTAAAGTAATGAGTAAGTAACTCCACAGCAGCCTACACTTCTGGGTTTCTTTAATATGCTCAGAAGTAAACTAATCCCTTGCCTCTAAGCTGGCCAGCCTAACAGAGAGATATTGTTTCACTCTATTTGATCCATGAAACAATTTTAGAAATTAATCTTCTTTAAGGCTAGCCTGCTCTGTCATAGTAGAAGATGCAAATGTAACCATCAGCTAGCAGATGTGAACCTGGGTTCATCTAGAGCTTAGTGTAAGGAGCCTCTACAAGTCTACAGCTTGAGCTATAAAGCCAGCTGGCTCCCAGCTTAGGCTATAGAGCTCTCTTATTCTTATTGCTCACTGTAAGTGGTCTAAGTGCCATTACATGGGACACTGAATCACACTAGGGCTAGGTCTACACTGCAATGTTCAATCAAAAAAGAAATACAACTTGCAGTACGCAAATTGCGTACCTTTTTTCAATTTACTTTGGAAAGAGGCTTTCCGAAATTTGGCACATCTACACGGTTCCAAATTTCAGAAAAAAAGTGCTCTTTCAAAACATCTTTTATTCCTCATAGAATGAGGTTTACAGGGATGGCGAAAGAGCACGTCCGCTTTTTCAAAAAAAAATTTCTGGAAAAGCGGACAAGAGCACGTCCGCTTTTTCAAAAAAAAAAAGTGGACGTGTTCTTTGGATGCAACATTGCTTTTCTGGGATACCTTTGGTGTCCCAGAAAAGCAATGCAGTCTAGACATAATATAGGTGTGTGGGTTACATACTTTCCCTAACTGAGGAAGCATACTCATTTATCCATGTTTTATGTATAAAAACAGATAAGAGTAAGAATTAGCTTTATTCTCTATAAAATATATACATCCCATTTACAGAAATGTGTTAGACTGTGAACTAGCTGTTCATTAGTTTTTCTTCTTGAAATCTACATATAGCAGAGTTAAATATTCATGTACTCATAATTATGGCCTTAAATGTAGAGGCTGCTTTTGACAATTTGTGCCATCATATTTGTTGGTCTCTTTTAAATCAGTTTGAAACTGCAAAAATAAAGGGAGAAATCACTCATGACCTTCAGCCTATTAACGTATCTATCCTCACATTCTTGTGGGAAAACAAATTTCTACATTACTACATTTGCATTTTTAAACATCCTGTTTTGATAGAACTGAGTAAGGGCAAAAGCTCTTTTGATCTATCAAAAAAGAGTGTTACAGATATTCTTATTAAGAAGCAATTGATCTTTTGCTGTCTAAATGGCTAGTTACCTGGATAATATTCATTTTAATCAAATTAAATCTTAAACATTTTATCCCATCATTCAAGTTTTCCTTTTAAAATTTCTAATGGTTGATATTGTCATAAGTACTTCCCTGCAAATTAATTCCCCCAAAGGTCTTAAATAAGTATTTGATATATTTTAAGTGTTTGATATATCTACATTAGCATTTTGGCTTTTAGAGAAAGTTTGATGTATCTTTTCTTTTCCTACAGACGCGTGAGCAGCTCCAAGCAGAAATACATAGATCACAAGCTCAGATTGAGGACCTAGAAAAGGCACTTGCTGAGCAGGGACAGGTAATGTACTCCAAGAAAAAAATATTAATTATTGCACACTCTAAGTATAATTCCTATATACTCAATCATAAGCCAAATTTTCTTGGTGAAAAAGCACACTGTAAAGGGCGGGGGTCAGTTTATGATTGGGTCATTGTGCTTCACATTTTTTTTCCACTGGAGGGAGGGGTCGGCAAACTTCAATTCCCAGCTCAGTAGGGCAAAATATAGGCGCATCAGGACATTTTATGTACCTGGAGTGTCTACCGGCACAGAGCCCCTCAGCTCCCAGGCACTGTCCTGGGTCAACAGGAGCAGCAGGAAGTGGTGACTCTCACATGCCTTGGCTCACACTGCTTCCTCAGTTCCCATTGGCTGCTGTTCACCATTCCCAGCCTATGGAAGCTATGGGAAGCGCATGGGTAAGTTGAGGGGAGTTGTCTTATGTACAAATAGATTTATGCTCAAGTATATACAGTATCTGTTCTGTAAATTTTCAGTCAAAAATATATTATAAAGTTTGTAATATGTGAGAAAAGATAGACGTATGTGTGACGGGGTACAGTCACAGAAGACCCTTTGGGGGTGCTTCCTGGAGTACTAACAGAGCTACTGACACTCTTCTCCTTGCTTTGTGGAGCTTCTCACCACCCTGTCCTGGTGGGCCAGCTCACCTGGTCTCCCCCAGACAAGGCATGGAGAGAGCTGAGATTATTGCCCCCAGTAAGAGCAATAGAGACACTGAATTTTTTCAGGTCTGAGGAGAATGTAGTTTCAGGCCCAGCTTCCAGGAACCCAACCCCAGATAAATCATTCAGGTGAGCCCCATATAACAATGAAAGGAGGATGTACTCACTGATTGCTCCCCCAGGTAACAATTATTTACACAGGGCTTGATAGTATATAAAAGTGATTTTATTAAGTATAAGCAGTAAGGTTAAAGTGGTTGCAAGTGAAAACAGGCAGAGCAAAGTGAATTACAAATTTAAAATATCAGAAAACACATAGCTAGTTCTAACACTGAAAGCTCATTACAAACTTACCCTAAAACTGTTCTTATTTCAGCTAAATCTCTAAGTCAGGGAAGATCTTTTCTCCCTAGGGTCTCTAGTTTTTTCCATTGGGAGTGACATGCCAGTCAAAGACAGAGGGATAGTTAGCTTTCCATTGTTTAGAGACATGGTTACCAACTGGTTGATCCTGATCAATTCCTCAATTGTGAGGCCTCGACCAGTTGATCACGAGGCATTCGGCCCGCCCCAATTTTCCCTCCACCCCCAATAAGCCCCACTACGTACCTCCAGCAACAATGGAGGTAGTGCCGGCTTCCCGCAGGGTGAACAGAAGTCCTGCAGCTTCACGCCACTTCCGGGGGTTCCGGAAGTGTGCTGGCTGCTCCCCTTTTCTTTGCCCTTACAGCAGCTATTCTTTTTTTAATGTGCACAGAAATATATCCTAGCTACTGATCATTTGTGAACTGAGTACTAATTAAGCTATCTGGTCTACTAGATTAATATTTAACCTAGTCTGTGGTGTGCGGGGGCATTGGCCCCGGAGGAGGCGTGTGTGCGGGGCTTTCCCTGCGCGCAGGGTGGGGGGTCGACCCTGGGGGAGGCACGCGCAGGGGTTTCCCCACACCATGGGAGAGGGGAGTCAGGCCCGGAGGAGGCACGTGCCGGCTTCCCTCTGGCGGGGGGGGGGGGGGG